ATCTTAAAGTTATGGATAGAGTGCTAGACAGTGTAAATAAGTCGATTAATAAGGGTACGGAACCATACAATTGAACATCTACTTTATTTTATGGTGCTAGTTGTAGTAAAATTAGGTCGAACAAAATAAGGTGTTCCATGAGTTCGTGACTTCAGTAGTTGTTAGTTCAAGAATTGTAAGAAGGTATAAATTCTCTAAATGTGATTATTGAAATTATAAAAATCATATGTTAGAAACTAGTTGATGTCCCTCAATAGGTGCAAATGTATCTAATTTTTTTCTTTGAAATTATGAATTTTCTTCCTCATTTATATGCATCATTGTTATTTTAGCGTTTGCAGGTGTGTAAGTTTACTCGTTAAGGTGGGAATTCATACTTTGCATTTGCTTGTGATTATGTGGATATTTCATGTGTTTCTTTTCATTTGAAGCATGCTTTTCTCCTCACATTAAATTTACCAATTGAACATTCTACTTTTAGTCATTGTATAGATTTCCATTCAATAGGTTAATTAATTTTAATAAAGTTGGTTCATACTGTTTGTTTCAATTTTTGGGAATAGAAATCATATTCTGTCCAACCAACATTTATCAGCTGCTTTCTAACATACGAATCCTAGTGGCTTAGACATTACATAAACCTGATACAAGTAAGATACATATTTTCCATAATTATCGACAGCTCATCATATTTGTGTGTGGGCTGTGATACTGCCCGGGTGCCCAGACCGAAGCAGGTGGTTTTCTTAGTGGGCCACACCCGGAGCCTTTGACCTAAAGGTCTGACCCACAAGTCAGTGGAGCCTCGTGAGGAGATGCAGTCCCATGGTAGCTGGCGACCAACGACTGGTTCATACGCCATTTGTTCCCTCAGGATACTGGAGCCCATGTGCACCATTGGTTTAGAATCAGGGTTTTTCAACTCCCCTAGGTGGACTCTTCATGTCCACCAACCCGGTTAAAGCGCCGGACATTTGCTTTTCGTCCTCTCATTTTCGTAGACAATACCCCTTCCACGAGAAGGCAGTGAGTAGGACTTCCCTGGCAGAGGCTGTATACGCGTGGCCATGTGAGAGCAATTCGGGAGGGAGGGCGGTCTCACCCTACTCTCGACCATACCAGGGCATTTGGGGGCCGAGAGATGGTGCGACACAATGGCTAGAGACGTTATCAGATATGGCTCAGAATAGGAGCCAGTGGCGATCCTGCTGTAACCTTCTTTTACTTTCTTCATAAAAAGTGGTTGTTTCGTCCCTAACTGATAGATTTTTTCTGGTTGTACCTTTCCGTTTCCCCCATTATTATTATTACACTACCTTACACTAATCTCTTCGTTATTGTTCTTTTTTACGCTCCTCACCTTTTTTCCCTCCTTCTCTTCTCGTTCTCATTGTTTTGTGTGGCGCATATATATTTGGTGCCCTCTTATACCAATATTTATATGTTCAAATAAATAAATAAAGATACATATGCTGAGCAACAAAATTATTTTGTTCGATACTTATAATGAAAAATTCTCCAGTTATTTGCATTGTTTCACAAGCATAGTATTTTTTTATTGGAATCAGACTAATGATCATTAAAATTCACTGATGTATTTTCCATTTTTAATCTGACTTCAATAAAGTCTTCTTCGATTTACTTTGTTTAATTTTTCTCATGTCAATGATTTCATCTGAATGACATCACCGATTATTTTGTTTTTTAGACTAGATGGATCAATATTCTGCCTAATAATTTAAGAGTTAATTTTTAAGGAATGTCAGGATAAATTCTAAAGAAATATAGACCGACCACTTTACTTTCATATCGAACATATTGACAATATCCTACCATTTCTCCATAATTTTAAATACTTTTCTAAGCAAAGCGTTAATTAGTTAAGCGTTTGTAATTTCCTATCGTTTGTTTGTAAGACTGCGACTGATCAGCTTTTGTTACCGTGTGGATCCTGGTCAGATTGCGTCTATATATTGCGTTGTGGATTCTATCACCAGAGATAGACCGAATATACTAAAAACATTAATTGGTTTCAAAAGTTTTAATTAATTAGCTGCAAACTACTTACCAACTTGATTATTTGTACCTTGTTTATATATAGTTAGCTTTTTGTTGCTTGAATGTCGTATTACTAATGGTTTCAATATAAATTAACTCGGTTACAAAAACAACTACTCAACGTTTATATCCCATTAAGTGTGTTAATATTAACATTTCTTACCTCCTAACTTTAATTTCAACTTGATACCAAATTTTTCACCGTTTTACGTCACAGGCTTATCTTGGTTAAAGAGTCATTCAGAACCATGAAGCACTAGTATGTTGTTTTGTCCTATTATGGGGTTTCTCACTAGTGTACATGCATAACTCCACCGAGAATCAACCTCAGCACCTTCAAGGCTCTTGGTGAGCACCTAATACCCAGTTATTTACATCTCTCTCTATCTCTCTCTCACCATATATGTAATAGATTGGGTGTGGTTTTTGAATAGTACTTAACCTTATTATCTTTTGGAATTCTATATTTGTGATATATAAATTCATAATTGACAGCATCATTTATTGTTTAAAAAGTACTCATCCACCTTTTGTCTTAAGTAGAAACTGATAAAATTGAGATTAATTTCCTATAAATGAATTGTCTACGTTTTGCCGTTTATCTTCTTTCGTATTTCTCAACTTAGGCGTGTTACGTGAAAATTACCTACATTAATAAACCAAAATGTAATTTTTTACTACTGCATTTGTATGTATGTTCTTCACTTTACTTTCTGTATTTATCTGTTGTCTGTTATTGAAGTTGTGGGAAATGTAGAAGTGTACTTTTGAGATTATAGTACAAATATGATTATTTAATTGGATGCCATGGTAACTGAATACATTTCGCTCATTTTCTTGTGTTTATTTGTATAAAGATATTGATTTTGTACTTATTTAAACCTGAAATAATTATTTTCTAATTTTACTGTTTTATTACCTATCATTCCTATCTATTATTGATGTTCCAACTGTCAGATTTGTCTCTTTTGAACATTCTCTTTTTTTTTAAATAAAAAAATTATTCACTGTAGAATGGTTTACTAAGCATAAATGTTACACAACTTTAGTTGAAATTACTATAAGAACAATGGTAGAGAGGAACGTTATAATGGATTAAGGAGTCAATTGTTAATGTAAAACATCCGAGTTTCAGTTTTTACTCTACTAATTTTCCTAACTAATGTTTTCTGCAGTCATCAGAGAGAATGTTCGCATGCAATCATTATACATTTAAATAATTCTATACGTGTTTTTATTTGTAAATAATAATGTTTAATTTTGTTTCACTGATCCAATATCCAATTGAGTATTGGTTTAATATGCTGTCTCATAATTTGTTTAAACCTGGTTAACTGAACTGTAAGAAAGTGATAAATAAAAACGGATAAATTAACTCCACTTTAGTCAAACTGTTTGTTATCTGTATGTTTCTAAAAATAAATTATTAAATAGATATTAAGAAGTAATTTATTTTGGGTATCCTTTTATTTCTTCATTTCACCTTACTACAATAATGATGGTACTGTTCCCTTCTTAAATGAATACGAAAGCTAATCTTCATAGCTATTGCACAATTATCCTATTTCAATTTATCACTACTGAAACCGCGGATGATTTTGGTCAGACTGATTTATTTAAGGAGACAGTTGGGTATTTTATACCACATTTGATAATGTTATGATCTTGATTATTTACTGACTGATCCATGGTTTCTTTAATAACACAAACTAGAGGATGAATAAAATATTGATTGTGTATCTGGTCAGTGATATTTATTACTATTTACTCGTCATAGATTCATTAAGTGGTTAAATAGTTTATTAGTCTATGATCAGGGACACTTTGTTACACCTCATATTGACGGATTTCTAAAACAAAGAGTATATTCGGAATATCGTATCGATCTGTTCAGATTATTTGGAAAGATAAAAAGCAAAAAAAACTACTCCACTTAATTGAAATTGAAAGTATTATGTTTTTATTTCTAGGTATAAATCCCTGTCTCTCTAGTAATTTCAATCAACCAACATAAACGAAGTAAATACTGTTGTTGTTACTCATAACAATGTTGAATGTTTCACTGAGAGATCATAGCACTAATCTATTTTCAGTGTAATTTACATTAATAGCTAGTTTGTCTTTAGTATTCCTATAATTTATTGCATGTTTTCTTCTCAATCGGTGTATCAGTTCACTTGATACAAATGATTTTTATAGATAAATCACTTTACAAGGATATTGGTTAATGGAGATTCATAGTTTTTGTCTCGTTAACTTATCATTATTTTTCCATAATATATTCCAGACTTTTATTTTATCGACTCGGTGATTCAACAACAGGCAGACAGTTAAGATGTTTTTGTTTACACCCCACTCGAAATTACAAAGAAGTTCGTTGCTATTGTAAAACATGACAATAGGCAGGAGGAATGTATGCTTATCATGTCACAAAGTATTTACACATTACATATACGTAGCCTTTAATCTCCCAGTGTGTTCTATAGTCTGAACCGTCTTCTCGTCTGGCCTCTACATGTTACAACAATGCTGTGCTTTCGATGCACTAAAACTTTTCACTCCGTCTAACAACTGTTTCAACTTCGACACCACGTTTCGCTATACACTACTTACAAACATCCTTTTGAGTAGCGTCCACTACACTTTAAGTACTCAAATGATATTTAGTAGGTTACCTATCTGTACTAAATTATGGTTTCAAAAACTTTTCAATCAATATTCAGCATACACTACCGTGTTGTACCATTGCATATTTAATGTGTTTTTTTCCGCATGGTTTCCTTAAAATTGTAGATTAAAATGAGCAACATCATGGTTGAATTATAATATTGTATTTAAATTGGATTGAACAACTTCTTATGTGCTTCTAGTGTGTATTATTTTTATACTATTTATGATTAATGCATTTTTTATTTTAAAAAATTCATTTTCCTTCTATCTAGTTTGAAATTGATGAAATCGATGAACTAACTACACAATATTTAATGGATATTTTATATCCTAAACAAGAAGAAAAACAGTTTATATTTCAAAAACCCCAAGGTCCTATGGGACGCCGTCCTAGAACACATATACATTAATGTTTACTTTTGGATTTTGTCATTCATAATTATAAAATATTCTTATAATTATTACTGTTTTATTGCCTTCTATTTCATGAATTTTATTGATTTATTCACTTCAGAATATATTGATATGCATACTTTTTCGATTTGATCATTATCCAATTTTTCATTCTTATATTTCTGTTAAAGAGAAAGTGTATGAAAGGATTAATTTTACTGCTGAATCTGTACATCGCATATATACATATATCGGTTTTGTTTCTACTGTACAACCATATACATTTATGAAATCGTATAGAGTGCCCTTAATGAAATTGAATGATTTCGGTATAAAAAAAATTCCTCTACATATATCTCGTCTTATCATATTGCCTTAATAGAAATGAGTGAAATTCTACTCAATTTTTTTCTTTCCAATTCATGTAATAGTATTATCAATGAACAGTCGAAAATGTTCACCGATGCAGTTCCTCATATAATAGATATATATATACTTTATTTTCGTTCCTGATTATTTGTTTAGATACAGCTGTTGTCTTGGCTATTTTCCTTTTTGTTCTATTTTTCTTTTATAAAAACTTCCTGTCTATCACTTTGTATAATGTAACCATTGATTTTATTACATATATATACATTATGTTTAGCACAGATTTCGTTTTTTATGATTACATTTTTTTAAAACGAAGTCATAAACTTAATATAAAAATGATATATTTATCACAAATTAATGTTAGCTGGTAAATAGGAACAATTGAACATCAGATTGCATTGACACAGTTTTCCCGTCGTAATTTAGGATTCTTCGACAGTGTGCACTTATATCTCAATTACCAACGATTAAATAGAGGCTTTCTTCATAAATTCCTTTTGTTTATAGCTACTTTTAGTGAATCTAGTCATTATTCATGGATAAAATGTATATCTTAATGGACAGTTATAATCTTGTTTTAACTGTGTCCAATTTCGGATACATTTTAATTTAGTAATATTAATACAGAAATGGCGTGATCTTCTTTTTTGACACATCAAATTACGTTTTTTTATCTTTAAGAATTTAATATTGAATAAATAAGTGGACTGTTTTATGCATATATGAACGTAGCTCAGTGATTTCGGCGCTAGAATTACATATTGTGGTGTTACAGAAATTAAATGCAACCTCTTATTTTGAATTACGCAGTCTAATAAAATTTGTCCAACTCATCATAAACGTGGTACAACTGAAAACTTGAGCCTGTGTATCATTATAGCATATAATGTAGAATGCATAAAACAACGCACATTTTAGTTACCTACTTAGGAAATCAACCTAGCTATTCCGTTTCATACTATACGAAACTAAAATAACACCATGTAAACTATGTAATGTAATGTAATCTAGAGTTACAGAGCTTAATATGTGCATGGACTGATTGTTGTAATTTCTATATGAATGCTTTCGTTTGATATTCTATGAACAACATTTTTAAAAAAATTATGTGTTAGAAATATATTTAACAGTGATGAAGTGTCATCATATATTTAATTCTGTATGTTCCAAACATGAAAGATAGACAACAAACCTCTAAGTCCCTGCTGTGGTGTGTGCTACTTATATTGACATAAGTAGTAGATGGTGTTAGTCGTGAACAGAATGTCTGGCAGCAGAGAGACATGAGGATCGAACAGTAAAGAATGGAAACAGAATGCAATTTGTATGAAAATGCAAGAACAATGAAGTCTGAGTTATTATGAGACAATTGATGGACATTTTGCAAATTACGTATTTACTATATTATTTGATTGTTAGATTTTATTAAAAAGTCCTGCAATTTTGTGTCAAATACATACGATTGTCCCCACTCGTGTTCTGTTCACTACACCGCTAACTGTCATAATATAGTCAGCGGTTAGGCTTTTTCTCACCTATTCTTCAGTACTTAAACAATGTTTTAACGGAATTTTGTAATTGAGTTACACTGTTTACTTCCTATTAATCAATTAGTAAGTGTTATTTTAGTGTTTATTACTTGTCATATTAAACTAAACCTCTTCATTAATTAAACTAAATTACTCAATATTGTTATAAATAATAGTTTACTTTCTCATCAAATAGTAAATTGTTCTATAACTTGAAGTATTAATAGATTACACTGACAACAGTAATATATAATTCACTCATTTTCTTATATTACATTGTGTATAATATATCAATATTATTCACCTTGTAGATTCCAGAAATGTTTATTTTCAATGATAAATCGATTGTAAATAGTTTATTTTGAAATTCCTACGTAGCGTTTCTTCTTATTAGTTTAAAGTTATTTATCATTATTATGTATTATTGAGTACTTCTTAGTATTCAATAAACTAAATACTAACTAAATGAATAATAAATAGATTTGTATATAGCCTTTTGTTCTGGTTAAGTAAACTATGGATCCTCAGAATAGAACCTGTTGTAATTAGTTTTGAGCTTGTTTGAGCTTTGTTCTACTCACATATTCAACTCTATGATTGAATATTATATTGAAGTAAAACTTATTATTAATCTATGAAGTCATTTATCATAGAAAACTAGATTATTTTGTTTGGACTCCAAGTATCAATAGAGATTGCATGTTAATAAGTATGCATTAAAGTACAATACTATGCATTTATGTTTTAGCTGTGTTCCTTAGTTTTTATCATGATCATACTATATATATGGTATGAAATTATGTTTAATTATCTAGGTCATGCGATGAAAAATATTTCTCTTAACGCTATGAAAATTGGGATGATTTTTGTACATTTTTTCCGTAAGTATCATTTATAAACTTTTGGTAAGATGAAGGATACGACACTATAGTTGTTTTCAAATCACAAGACATACTACTAATTATAAACATACTTCCATATACATTTGAAATCAATCTTTATCTAATTCTAAAGGAATATGTTAGTTTAGTTGAGTAGAAAACGATTATTTCTCTCATAAACAAAACCGAAAAACTTCCTAAGAAGTTTATAAACCCAATTACTACTTTAAATTTTCCAATGATTTCATATGATAATTGTCCTTGTTCTTTTTTGTAACAGTTGGTTTTTCAATAGACAAACTCTAAAACTAATGATGAACTTAGAACAATATAGAAAATGGTGAATCTTTAAAAGTTCTTCCAAATTGATTAGTTCATTTTTATGTAGAGTATAAATACTCTATAATACATTACTGAAAAATGATAGTTCTGAATCGTGTAATAATTTTTAATAAAAAATCTAAAATCAACGTAATGGAAATATACTGACAAAATAATCTTCAAAATATATCGTTCATGAATAATGTATATAATCCTTGTTTACTAAGGATCTTTTTTCACGGTAAGTTACTTTTAATACTAATTCACGGCAACACATAGTGTTAGCTACTTTATAAGGAAACAAATTTATCTCAACTTACTAGTGGATAATTTAAAAACACAGTATAGGGAAGGAGTATTATTTCCTATTCTACGGAAACTTCACATACTCCTTCCAATTTTGATGAACGTCATTGTTAATTATAGTCACTGTATTCTCATAACTATCAAATTAATAACAGTAGTTATATTCCGGAAATAAATCTTCAATTATACATTATCTAAATTAAATTATGAATTCTTTCAGGCTTTAATTATCTACACCATTCATTTGTATCTCAAAAGATAAATACATTCTATAAACTAATTGGTGTATACACCATTTTTCAATGATGATATGCACAACGTTAATTTCAACAAAAATGGAAATCTGCTTATATAATTATTAAATATTAATAAGCGTATTGTATTTCTGATCTCTCTAGTAACATAACTATATTCTTTTTAATTGATTCTATTCCATCTATATTTTATAAAGTCTGATAAATGAATTTATTACTGTATAAGTAGTTCTGTATTATGTGACCATGAACTATCAACTGAGATCTTATTACTATCTATCTATTAGTATTTTGGAAATTATTTCTATACTGACGAAGTTTATAATACTGAAAATGGCAACTTTATACTAGATATAACGTATAGATCTTCATTCAAGAGAATTTACTAGTCCGATAATTTGTTAATTAGACTGCAACAAAAATTTTTTAGTTATTATTCATGAAAACAAGCTCTTTTTAATTATCATACGAAATAAAACCACTAGACTGAAGAAATCAGATTAACAGCGCATGAAAACAATACTAAATTTCATCTTATTTTCTCAACTTATTGATATGGAGAGTCAATCAGAAGTAGCCTAATCAATGGCAATCAAAAAAGACCTAGTGGACAAATTCATTTGATTGGCTAAGAAATGGGTTGATTTCGTAAGGATCGAGTGGTATATATATGAATAAGTATATGTACATTTTATTCGATAGCCCAGTACACTTTCTCGCTCAGGTTCTCACTCAAGTAGTCAGTTGGGTGGTTAGCGCCTAGCACATAGTGTGTCAGTATCAGATTTTGGACATCGCCTATCACAATGCTCATGAACTCTGTGCGATATATTATTAGAAACTTTATTAAAGAAAATAGCAAATAAATATCAATACCAAGGTTGGACGTGATAGCTTCAAATAAATAGAGCATTAGGTAGAGAGTTGATAATGAATACATTTTTCTTATATCCCAGTGAGTAGGAAAACTGTATTCCTGACGTTTCTTCAGAGTAAATTTACTCTGAAGAAGTGGCCCACATTAAGGCAAGAATACAATTTTTCTACTCGTTGGGATATAACAAAAATATATTTATTATTAAAATAGCAAATATTACCAACTTTAATTGAGAAAATTGACATTTGTTGAAGAATACATTGTAAATCAAAATGTATTGAAAAGTTGTTTTGTTTTAAGTAGTGTATTTCAACAAACTCATCCAGAATCCAGTACAAGTTGTAGCAATCCGTATTCAATGTTATTTAATTTATAGTGAATTTTCAGGTGGATGTTAGTTCATAACAACAAACATTTTCATATTATGCAAATCTGATTATTCATTCATTGTAAATATTATAAAATAATAATTAATAGATGAAAAATAATCTTATCAAGAAATAGCATTCAGGATTATTTCTCCTAATTAATCAACCAACTACTATGTGTCTTCAAAATTAAATCATTCATTCAATTTTGTATTAATTGTTTGAATCTTCACACTAACGTTTAGGATGGCAATTGATCAATCTCTTATTGGCATATGTTCATGCTGTGCAGATTGCCTCGATCTTACCTTAGGTCACAATCATTATAAGCAGAGATAAATGGTGGCTAGCAGTGCAATCTAGGACGGATGTTTCGTCCTGTTTGGGACTCATCAGCTGAACCTACCTGCATGTCAGAGTTGATGTCTACTTTGGGACTGATCAATTTTAATCCTAAACGTCAATAGGAAGATTCAAATAACCAATACACGATGAATTAAATCTCACCCCATTGTAAAAGATAGTAGCTATGTTGACTCAGTAGCTAAGTGAATAGCATGATAGTGTTTGAAGCGAACGGTACTGAGTTCCAATCCCGAAGTGAATATTAATCCTGAAATGTAGGTACATTGAACTGACGAGTTCCAAATAGAATCAAACACGCGTCCTGGATTCCACTTCTAGCCATCATCTAAGTTCACTTAAATCATTCATATTGTACATATAACATTCACATTAT